AAGCTGAATACTGTAAATTCGGAGTGTATTAAACAAATAATCCAGCTTTAAACACTTTATTTAACAACAACGCATGTCCTATCCTGATCATTGTCCTAAGATCTGGCCAACAAATTTGCTAATATTTCAGTCAAAAGATTGCTGATATTCCTAATAACCTTGACAAAATACATTCACCTGCTTGTGTTGAAAATTGATCTCTTGCCACTAAAAAGCCTAAGTCTATTTTGTCCAACTTTATATATCTATTTTATTTATTGACAAACATATTTACATGGATAAAATTTTCATAAAAAATATGTTCTAACAAATGGTCCATGAATTAAATATAAAGCAAACAATTTACAAATAAAAAGAAGAAATATTTTTCAATTGTTTTACAATAATTAAATGAATTTAAACACATTAAAAATAGGCCTACATTATAATTGAATTTTAAAATACATAGAAAAATATAATTATTTTACGAAAAGTATGGTTAATTTTATTTTTAATATGAACTTTATACAGTATCCTTATACAGTATATATGTTAATTTATAAAAGGACAAAATTAATATGGATTTAGATTTGATTATAATAATTATAATTTGTTTACCTTGAGTACGCCTTTATGTTCGAATTTTTAAATAAAGATTAGTGAAGATTAATACTGTAAACATTTTATTTAATAAAAGAACAAAAATACATAGGCCTAATCATTAGATTTGATTATTCATATAATATTATTATTTTACCTTAAGTACGATTTGATTTTGAATTTAAATGTGACGAATACAGAATACATTAAAATTTATGAATGTATACATATAAATAACGATATGTTAATAAAATTTTGCCTTTATATTGATTTTTGGTAAAACAACATTTCGGGGTTTAGCCAATCTAGTGGTACAATTATGTCTATCAATAATTAATTCAACTTGGTTTACTAGATGCTGCGGAGCTAGACCATGAATACATTTATACATCATACATGATAAAGAATAATCACGCCTTTGTTCAAAAGTTAGCCATCCGAGACCAAAAATGAGATCCTCACCTCTGTGGTTTATAAAATCAATTTTTTCGAAACAATTCTGGCAGCACGTTTTTTTGTTTTTGTTTTTTTGCAATATCAATATAACATAATGAAGCATTTCCCCAAATTGAAATTCCATAGCCAATACAAGGTTTAATAGTACTTTTATACAATATCTCAATTAGGCCTAAATGTTTTTTTGCTTCAAGTTACTGCCTTATTGCATTATTTAAGTTTGTTTGTTTGGTCTGGCTACTAGGGTAATATGTATCTGTGGTTTAATGGGTATGATACTCTTCCTGACAGGAAGAGGTTGTTGCAGGTTCAGTTCCCGCCAGTGACATTTTTTTCATACAACTGAAATACAAAGAAATTATCGTTGATGAGCTATGCTGGATACGATTATTACAACATGCACCTATTTTTGATCACGGTTATTATTATTCATCTATTTGTTTATAATTTGTGTTCACTGTGCTACGCATAGTGAACACAATATTATTTACTATGATTTTCCACCTGCGACCTATTAAGTAATTACAGTCAGATTTTGAGTACACTATTATGAATTATAAGTCAATCGTTACGTCATCACGGCAACTCCCAATGCTATTTACCTATTTTGCTATTATATATTTTTTTCATATAGTGCATGGTTAACTTGATCTTTTTTAGGTTCGTGTGCAAAAGGCCAATTCAACTAGTACATCTCGTGCCCTGCAAGGAATTCTAGGCTAGTTGTTTTACACCTAGCACTGTGACGCGCGCCCCTGCGGAAAGAAAGAATAGACATCCACTCAACGAGTGGTAATTGAAAAAAAAACGACATTCGTAAAACAGGGTGTATTAGAAGCCGAAGAAAGTTACTTCAAATTCAATCCTGTATAAAAATTAAGGAATTTCTTGAAACAATGGACCTTAATAAACTAAAGAAACCGAACAATTAGGCCTATCTAGACCTGTTTCAAAGATGCAAGGAACGAATTTAGAATTAGGCAGTATACCCAGGCTTAGCCTAGCCTAACCTGGTATTATAGATCGAATCGTAAGCCTTTGATGAAATCATCACACGATTTTAACTTTCTGAACACAGTGGCGGGTCCAGGGTGGGTGGAGGGGGGTTCAAGGTGTTCAGACGAACCCCCATTTGTGAAGAAACGTAACAAAATACAACTAGGACCTGTCCTGGATTACAAAAGGCATGCCAACCTAGGCGTATATTGGAAGATCAGACAAACTAGGCTTAGCCCAACTAGTTTTCAATTAAAAAATTATACACTGTTTTTGGTTCACCGTCGTAACAATTTATGTAAGAAAGTGCGTTCTTCGGGCCTATCGGTTCATCGATCCATGGAAGAAATATCTATAACTACTCAATGTTGTTGGAATATAATAATATATTGTCTGTCTTTTACTTATTTTTTTTTCTCTGTGATAGGCCTAAAGAATGAGATAAAATTACCTGACCTTTTTTCAAGAGGGGGAAAACCTTGAATTTTGAAGAACTTAAACTAGGGCTGATGGGGTACAGACGGTGCGATCGCACCCCCCTAATATTGTATTAAGAAAAATAATTGTTATATTATTGATATGAATTATTGGTAAGATTTTAAAGGTACATGAGAGTACAATTTCCAGGCACCCAGAGATCCGTATTCTTAAAATGTTCGCACCTCAGCCTTTGGGCGCAGATCATCGGGAAAGGGGTAAACGTCCAGAGGTTGCGCCAGGGTTTCCCCGACGGCGGGGGTGGGGGGGGGGGTGTCCGAGGTCCTCGACAGGGGGCAATGTCCACGACGATGGGAAAAAATTCACCAACGAGAACAAAGTGGGAGTGGTTGAACGTCGCTTTTTAAATGTGAAAGTGGTCTAGGGGGTGAAGCCCCGAAATTTTGACAAGCGATTAATTAGATCGATGATTATGAATTTTACTATATAAGAGTGTCATATCCGGCAATCTAGAGGTACAATTTCCCCAAATTTTACCACCTCAGGTGCATCACTCGTAATAATTAGATCTCTATTGTTGCCGAAAATCCCTGATAAAAGATCATGAGAAATTTGCTGGCGCCTCATCTAGACTAAATAGTGATGGTGGGATAATGGTGAATTTTACTGTATAAAAGTGTCATTTCCGGCCATCTAAAGGTACTATTTCCTAAAATTTTCTGGTGGTTTTGGACTCACGGCTTTGAAGTGACAAAGTATATACATTATAGAGAATGTTTTTAAGTGTTATGTGTACATTACACATACTAATTAGATCTCTGTGGTTGCCGAAAATCGCTGATACTTTTGACTATATAATGGTGATGTGTTGATCGAATTTCACTATGTAAAAGTGAAATTTCCGGCCCTACAGGTACTATTTCCTTAACTTTTTTGCACGCACCTCCTACCGCCAAATCCTATATCCGCCCCAATTAAATGTAATTAAAAGACTCCTCAGAAGTCATTTCCTGCCATCTAGGAATTAAATTTTCCCGGGGGAGGACCCCAAGACCCCCTTTCATTTTGGGTTTTTTTTGGAGACATTTTCAACCCCCCTATTCTAAATCCTGGATCCGCCCCTGAAACCGACCAAAATGTGATTACAGTACAGTGTTTTCTCAAATGCTTGAAGAAATCTATTTATTTGACAATGTCTATCAAAATAGTTTACACGCTCATGACAAGTTCTTCAAACACAATCAAATATTTATTCACCGTACTGCTATGTAAACGTCGTACATTATTTCAACAGCACTAACTGCTGGCTAGCACGTACAGTACTACACTGCAGCAACCATCCACAAGCACCACTGATCTCTACTATTTAATAGTAGAGATCAGTGGTGCTTACAATGACTATCATTGTTATTACTGTTACTATTATTATTTTTTTTCAATTGTCTACTCTGCGTTAATAATGTATGCAATACGTGTTATTGCTGATAAAGACCAGAGGAGTGCTCAACTTCGAAAACAAATGGTATGTCTATAATATAATGTTATGGTAAAAGTCAAGAAGTATACTGCATAGGACAACTTCCTCATAGGGTAGGATTGTATTCATTGCTTGCTTACTTTAAATTGTGCCTACGATGGCATGTTAGACGACGGAAGTTAAATTTGAATAAATTCCACCAGTTACAATGCATTACAATGTCTGTCACTATAGTTCGCTTCATCGAATCCCATAAGGATATAAACACTTTCATACAAGAATAATTATCACATCGCAGAAAAAGAAGCAACATATTTTACAATGTTTGCTGTACAATACGTCGTTTTTATATTAGTCTTGATCTCATGCTCTGTCGACAGTCAAACTGAAGAATGCACGTAAGTTAAGCAACGGCGGCTGAACGTTTTTCAAAGTGGGGATTGGGGGGGGGGAATTTCATAAGGTAATAAATCCAGTATGCGAACGAAGCGAGCATCTAGGCTGGGGGTAGGATTGTATTCATTGCTTGCTTACTTTAAATTGTGCCTACGATGGCATGTTAGACGACGGAAGTTAAATTTGAATAAATTCCACCAGTTACAATGCATTACGATGTCTGTCGCTATAGTTCGCTTCATCGAATCCCATAAGGATATAAACACTTTCATACAAGAATAATTATCACATCGCAGAAAAAGAAGCAAATATTTTACAATGTTTGCTGTACAATACGTCGTTTTTATATTAGTCTTGATCTAATGCTCTGTCTCGACAGTCAAACTGAAGAATGCACGTAAGTTAAGCAACGGCGGCTGAACGTTTTTCAAAGTGGGGGTGGGGGGAAAATTTCATAAGGTAATAAATCCAGTATGCGAACGAAGCGAGCATCTAGGCTGGGGGTAGGATTGTATTCATTGCTTGCTTACTTTAAATTGTGCCTACGATGGCATGTTAGACGACGGAAGTTAAATTTGAATAAATTCCACCAGTTACAATGCATTACAATGTCTGTCGCTAGTTCGCTTCATCGAATCCCATAAGGATATATAAACACTTTCATACAAGAATAATTATCACATCGCAGAAAAAGAAGCAACATATTTTACAATGTTTGCTGTACAATACGTCGTTTTTATATTAGTCTTGATCTCATGCTCTGTCGACAGTCAAACTGAAGACTCAGAGCCTAG